AAAAAAAAAAAAAAAAAAAAAAAAAAAAAAAAAAAGAAATGGCTGGTTAGGTACCGTCTCTGGCACTTTTAGCCAAAACATCACTGTAATAAGAGAGCAGAGATAAAACAGAAGAAAAAATTCATGGGGAAAAAATTAATGAGATATGCTAGCAAGAAGTCCAGAACAACTTGAAATGCCAAAAATTTGTCTTATCCCCCAAAATATCTTTATATCCATAGCCCACATTTTTTTAAAACATTTTTAAAGTTTAAACCAAACAATGTTCCCAAATTCGGCAGGTTCTATGTTGAAGGACCCATCCGAAGAGCATTTGACATTTTACCTGAGTCTCTGTAGGTCACATTTAACCACCAAGCAGCCCCTTTCCACAGTTTGAAGGGTAAAGCAGATGACACCCCCAAGAGATGAAAGACATGATGAGATCATTAAAAATTGTTGGGATTTTTTTCCCTATTTGAGCTTTAGAAGAAGAAAATTAAGTTGCTGTTTGAGTCCAAGATGCCAAGAATGTCACCTTCAGCTGATTTCTTTCACCATCAAGAGGGCTCTAAGTAGGTTCAACAGCAATGTCTGTTACTGTTGGGATCTTAAGTGTGCACTTTCTGAAAATCAACCATCCCACTGTGTAAATCAGCAGTGTTTTCAGAAAACCTTAATGACAAAGTCATGTTAAGGTCAGCAACAATGTGCCAGAATTTAAAAGACAGGGGGGGAAAAAAAAACTACTTGAATTTGACATTCACTTAAGACTATTTAAATTTCTTTTGACTTCTTTTCTTATGACTATCTGAATTTACTAATTAGTCCCTCTACTTCCAACTGTTTCCATTCTCTACCATCAATCTACTGTTATACTGTGCCAGAGGGATCTTGCCAAAGCTCATACGTGATTATATCATTTCACCTCTTAAAATCCTCCTAAGGCTCCCTATGGCTTCTAAAAATAAAGTCCAGATTCCTTAGATACCCTCCAAAGCCTGTGATGATCTGGTCTCTGCCCATCTCCCCAAGGTCCCCTCAGGCCTCTGTCATGTGGTCTGTGTGCAGCAGAGAGGAACCACTCACGACTCCTCAGAAGTATCCTCCATTCATAGCCTCATGCCTTTTTATGTGGTATTCCCATTGTCTGGGGCTATAAAGTATGTAGTTTACTTTTAAAAATACTTCAGCATGCATGCTTTGATTTTATTTTCAAGTAAGTGCTACTTTGTTTAAATTTCAACCACAGTAGCAATTGCCCTATCATGAATCCCTCACCATAGCTGGTCAACTTTCACTGTATCAGAAAGGTCACATTCCAGAGGCAACTGATATTTGGATTCTCTTTCATGAACAGGTTATAAGAATATAACACATCCTACACAAGGCTTAGCTCAAAATGGATCATAGAATAAATATAAAACCTAAAACTCTAAAACTTGTAAAAGAAAACGTACGAGAAAATTTGTGTGACCTTTTTTAGGCAAAGATTTCTTAAACGTGACACCAAAAGCACCATGCAGAAAAGAAAAAAATAAGTTGAACTTCATCCAAATTAAAAACCATTCTTTGAAAGACACTGTTGAGATAAAAAGACAAGCTAAAGACTAGGAGAAAATATTTTTAAAATATATATCTGATAAAGTTCTTATATACAGAATATATAAAGAACTCTCAAAACTTAATAATAAGAAAACAAACAACCCAATGAAAAAAAGTTGGGCAAATGCTGTCAACAGATAGTTCACCAAAGAAATATAAATGGAAACCAAGTACATGAAAAATGCTCAACATCATTAGTCATTAGGAAAATGCAAATTAAAACTACAATGAGATACCACTATACATCTACTAGAATGACTAAAACTTTTTTTTAAAACTGACAGCACTAAGTGCTTATGAAGATGTAGAGCAACTGGAACTCTGTATATTTCTGGTAGGAAACAAAATAGCACACCACCTCTGGAAAACAGTTTGGCAGTTTCTTTCAAAATTAAACATACACTTACTATATGACACAGCAATCCCACTTTTAGGTATTTACCCAAGAGAAATGAAAATTTATATTTATGCAAAAACCCGTACATGAAGTAGCTTTATTCATGACCTCCCCAAACTGAAAACAGCCTAAATGTCAACTGATGAGTGGACAAATTATGGTATATCCATTCAGTAGAAGGCTATTCAGCAATGAAAAGGCATGAACAACAAAACAGATGAATCTCAAATGCTTTATGCAAAGTGAAAAAAGCCAGACTCAAAAGGCTATGTACTCTGGAAAAGACAGAACTATAGAGACAAAACAGATCAGTGGTTGCCAAAGGCTCGGAGTGTGCCTGCAAAGGGGCACAAGAGAATTTTAGAAAAGATGGTCATGTTCTATAATTTGATTATGGTGGTGATTATGCAGCCATGCACAATTATCAAAACTTACAGAACTACACACTAGAAAGGGGGAATTTTACTTTTTGTCAGTCATCTCTCAATAAACCCGACTTTTAAAAAGGAAAGGTGATAGGCAAGGTCTGCAGTTGCTTCATTAGGGATAATACCAAAGGCTTGTGTAGCCATATGTTTAAGAATGTTTCTTGTTACCTGATGCCAGCTGCAAGGCTAACAGAACCCTGACTCTGGATTACCATCATGTCTGCCTCCGTGACCTTCCTTACAAGATCAGACAGAGCACCTAAAATTATATAGACTTAGGATTTCACTGAGCTTACAGAACAGCCTGGTTGAACTGGCAGTGGATGGTGTTTGTTTTGTTTTGTTGTTTTTTGTTTTCCAAAATAAATGCCTGAATGTGTGGCAGAATTTGGACTGGAACTTGCTTTCGTTACAACTAAAAAAGTTTTTAGAGATGTGGCCAATCCCTACCAACCTCACACTTCTTTGGAAGTACCAATATCTACCAAAAAAACCTAAGAATTGTTCATGACCCAACTGATTCAGGCATAGAAATGCCCTCCTTCCTCCAGCTCATGCAGATACTTCCCATGAGACCCAACGATCACCTCCTGTCATAGACCTTTCCTGACACCCTGTGGCATATTTCCATGGCACCCCTGTGTGGACGCGCTTTGAGTGAGACACTGACCTCTTTTTGTGATTTTTTTATTGGTCTGCCTCACTAGGCTGTGATGTCTTTAAGGGCATGAACTGGCTTATATTCCCAGGGCCTAACACAATTTGTAACAGATTCATAGATGTTCAGTAAGTGATGTATTTAACTAATAACAGTAATAAATACAATATTAGTGATGATAGCCAACACTGCGCACTTCCTTTGTGCCTGGCACTGTGCTACATGCCTTGTATACAGTAGCTCCTCAGCACCCTATGAGATAGGTGTTTTATCATCCCCATTTCACAGATAAGGAAACTGAGGCACAGGGAGATAAAGTAATTTGCCAAAAGTCACACAGCCAGTAAATGTTGAAACTGGGAATCAAAGTCAATGTAATCTCCTTCGAAAGCCTTCATTTTTCTTTTTTTTTTTTTTTTTTTTTGGTTGCTGGCTGGTAATGGGATCCAAACCATTGATCTTGGCGTTATCAGCACCACACTTGAACCAAATGAGCCAACCAGCCAGCCTGCAAAAGCCTTTGCTTTTAAGATCTATGATCTCTGCCTCTCATTTCCATTGCAACAATATATGTTAAAAGATATAGCGCTTTTCACACTGGGCATACAATCCTGGCATATAAAAGAATTTTAGAACTCACCAACAATGGATTAAACAAGCAAAGGTCCTAGAAGCTCAATTGCTCCAGATCACTCAGTTGTTCTACAGAAAAAATAAGATGGATTTCTAGTTAAAAATAAAAGGGGACAGGGGTTACATAAAATTTTACCTGGCCACTGCTTTTTCAGGTGTTTTAGTGTTCTGTCACAAGATCACTGTTTTTACTGGAAAGATTTATTTTTAACTGCTCTGCTCATCTCTCTCTTCAGGGTTCACTGCTTCCACTATCTCATTCCTCTTGCAAAGGAGGGGAACTATGCCATTGTTGCTAATGTGGAAAGTATGGACTATGACCCTCTGGTGGTCAAGCTCAACAAAGATATCAGCGCCATTGAAGAGGCCATGAGCGCCAGCCTTCAGCAGCACAAGTTCCAGTATATCTTTGAAGGTCAGGCCCTGCTCTCTCTCTCTCTCTGGGAGTTTGGGAGAAAGGAAGAGTGAAGGTTTTCCTGATTTTCTATATCATCGAAGTTCAAAACTTGTAGGAAAAAAGTTGTTTGTTTGTTTGAATTGAAGCTTCAATACCCAGCCTGTCTATGTATGACGAGGTAGACAGCAATATGGCTGCCATCTGCTCCTGGTTGATAAGAAGATTTAATCCAAGATAAGGCAGATGGCTGCCCGGCTGCCTCCCTGACACTCCTCTCATGCCACTCATGAGATTTAGGTAAATGTGTGGAGTGGGCCACAAATTAACTCAAGAAGAGCTCAGGAAAGAAAAAGAGCATGCACACACACACACACGCACACACACACACACACACACACACACAAAATGAGAAGAGAACCCTGAAAGATCCCTCGTTGGCTAAAATTATCATGAAGGAGAAGTTTTCTCTCACAGAACGAATTACCATCTGAAAAGAACAGAAGCCTCTGATCAGCAGTGATTTTTAGGAAGGCAGCACCCATAAATGCTGTTAGGGGTCAGGCAGGCCAGGAAGGGTGTGAGAGGCGGTAAGTACCATCTAAAGACATTTGCTTTCAAAATTTTTTAAATGTGGTGCCAGCCAAACAATGTTTTTATTGAATTCCGCCCATGGGATCCCTGTTAGGAATTCAAATTATATTCCCTTTTTACTTGTTTTGATTTGTTTGTGTATAGAAGACCTGGGTGCCAAAAGTATCTGTGTTCTCTCACAGAATTAAACCAGTATTATTTAAAACAATTAAGAAGGTTCACTGTCCAAAGGACTGTGGCCAACTGAAGATGGGAAAGAAAGTGTCAATGGATGGCCAATGCTTGCTTTCTGAAACATTTGTATTCCAGCAAATTCAGACCAAAAAAAATCCTGTTGCATTCTGAAGGGGAATAGTCCTAAAAGACTTTAGCTAAAAAGTATAAGTGATTAAAGGGATAGTTGTTAGTTAGCCCATGGCATGGCGCCGTGAATTTGGGTCACCTGGACTGCTCTTCAGTTGAAGCTACTGTGCCCGTCTAGGAGTTCACTTTTCCCTTGTTACACAGTTGACTCTTTGCTCTTGAAGGTGGCTCTTCCAAGCCCTGCGTATGAACATTCACACAATCCATATTATAAAATTTATTTCTGTAACATATTTATTATAATTTATATGTCTTATTCTCTACAAACAATGCCCCCATTGCCCACACTTTGGGCCGACCACGTTGTACCACAACAGGACAAAATTATACCCAAAGTTGTGGGTTAGGGAGAATGACACCAAAACTTGATCTACAGAGATTTTTCACATACATAAGGTGTCAAGTTTTAAATGTAGAATCCAGGGTTGTATTTCTTTGTTTTGTTTTGTTGTGAGTAGAAACCTTTTTTCCCCCACTTTCAAATAGTAGCACGTAAAAGAAAAGTCTGTGGTCTTGGGTGAGTGTAGCTAAAGCGAGGGAGAGGTCATCTTCCTCTCCCTTTTCTACTTTTATCTTAATCAAGGGGAAATTCATTTTGAAGACAGAGGAAGCCATTGAACCTGAAGATGTGCCTTGCACTCTGATCTGAACCTTAAAGGGTCTCTATGGAGGGACTGTGACTTTATAAAGGGAAATAACAAAAACAGTATACATTGCTGTGACTAGTCAGACTAGCTTTAGAGTTCTGAGGGAAATATCCTGCTAGAGTCCGTCTTGGCAAGAATAAGAAAAAGAGAAGGAGAAACATTTACTTAATTTCAAATATTTAGAATTAGAAAGTAACTTTTAAGAATAGTAAGCCATAGACACCTCCTGTTCTGAGCCAGCATTCGTCAGCTGAATTACCTGGGGTCTCCTGAAGGGGCCAGTAGTTTGTTGATGTCCTGAGCTGCCCTTGGCCACGCTTCATAGACCATAAGATAATCCTTCAGGTGTAAGAACAAACCACCTCTGGGACCCCAAAAATGTCCATAGATGTCTCGTGGGAATGGAGCAGTTCATGTATGATCTGCTTTTCCTTTGCCCTTTGTTTCTGATGACCACGTTCTCTCCAATTTCTACCATTGCCAATGTGGAGGTGTATTAGCATTACTGCCAGTAATTCAATTTCTTATTGATTTGTTTTTACTTAACAGTGTTGAGGTATATTAGTATTATTCCCAATGCCCAATTTGAATTGATTTATTTTTTTTATGTAGGTTCTCAGTCAACTTTTAAGCCAAAAGTGTTCCCCTTTCTGTTTTGTGGGAGACAGGAGAGGCCAGACAGCTCATTGTTCTGTTGCAGACACTTGTGTTCTTCTCTGCTTCCCATAAATCTGTACAGAAAAGCAGGAGTTCCTATGCACTGTAATAGTCTATAACAACCTGGCATATTCTCTAAGCCCTTGGCATGGTGGCTTTAGGTGCATATGGTAATGCTAGAACCATAGATATACCAGGCTTTTCTGCCAGCATTGAGTTTTCCCATTCGTAACTACTGGGACAGTGGTGGAATGCTCTGAAATTATTGTGAGATCAGCTGGTGCTACCATCAGAGAGATGTTTTCTTTGGTCATTTACGTTAGTGGAGGATGAGAAGAGAGGAATGCTGTGTGCAGGTTTCTGTAGCATGCTGCTCATCTGTCTTCTCTTTTTTCCCCCACTGCACCGTGTCACCCCTCAGGCCTGGGCCACCTCATCTCCTGCATCCTCATTAACAGTGCCCAGTACTTCAGGCGCATCAGTGAGTCCGGCATCAAGAAAATGTGTCGGAACATTTTTGTTCTTCAGCAGAATTTGACCAACATCACCATGTCGCGGGAGGCAGACCTGGACTTTGCAAGGTAGAAGGGACGATTGGGCTCAGTTTTTTGTATTGAGGCCAAGACCTCATTGCTTACAAAGTCATTTTAAAAAATAGATTCTTGGTATTTTAAAAGCTTAGTTAGAAAAAAAGAAACAGACAAATAGGTATTCTTAGATCGTACAGAAGGTAATTCTACAAAATTCTATGGAATGTTTAACGTCATTTAGGCAGGTAGTTTTCCCTACTGTCTAACCTTAGTTCTTCTCACTACAAAACTTTAGTAATGTTCTTCTGAGTATAAAAGTTATATATGTGCATTGCGTAAAGTATGTCAGATAAAATACAGAGAATATAAACATTACTTTTACTCTTTCATTGAGAGGCCGATATTTGGTATACTTTCTCCTGGCTTTTATGCATGTGCTGTGTGTACGTGTGACCTTTCACACATTTACATGCACATGGTTTCTCTTTTTACAAAACTGAAGCTATGTTAATATAATTTTATATTAATTTAATTGCATTTCCCCATATCAAATAATATTCTTTGAAAGTGTGATTTGTCCTTCCTCCATTTAAAACTCCTTGAAAACATTACTTTTAGTGCCTGAACGAATATTCTGCGGTATAAATGAACCATAATTTTTTTTAACCATTTGGGAATTTTTGGATATTTGAATTTCTTCCGTCTTTTTCTCTCATTGTAAATAACATGTATTGAGCATATTTTTACATGAATCCATTTCCTCATCTCTTCTGTCTTGTTCCAGT